CGCAGTAATCTGGAAAATGTTATTTTTTGTGACCTTTATTCCATGTTATGTATAACACGGGTGTTTCATAACGAGAGGGGTCATCCATAGACCCTTAGACCTGTGTTATGGCAAGTGATAATTGTAGTTGGAATATTGCTCACTCACTCACTCACTCACTCACTCACTCACTCACTTGCTCACTCACTCACTCACTCACTCACTCACTCACTCACTCACTCACTCACTCACTCACTCACTCACTCACTCACTCACTCACTCACTCACTCACTATGTATACAAAATCTACTTCCAGGATCATGTCTGACCTCAAATTCATGCTTCCACGGTTCCTGCTAACCATTGCCTTACATAAAGTCTGTGTAATGTCCTTGAGGTGTGATCGTTGGTTTCCCTATAAAATATCTCAGGTAATAAAATGCACTTCATGAAGCAAGCCAACAATGTTTCATCAACAGCGAATATTGTCGACCATCAACCCAGACCCTGCAGCAGTGGCAGTAAACTAGACTACCAATACTGTAGCGCCTTGTTTGGGATGGCTGCAGGAATTATGATGGTGGATATTGACTGACAGCAAATTAATTACCAATCACCCTGTTGTTATTGGGTTAGGTGTTATCAGTGAAGCCATTCCCTCCAAGTGGACTGAACTCGGGGACTATAACACTATTGACGTCCCACTGTGGCCCTGCAAAATTGGGCATGGAAGGATTGGCATATTTCTCTCGTGAAAAGCTTCATTCTTATTTTATCTTTAGAATGTTTATTGACTGATTGGAATATAATTGGTTATAGATTAGTGGGCAGCATACTGAGGACTTGAGGGTCGTTGACATGCGCTGAAGTATTAATTATAACCTACTGGGAGATATCAACAAATTATATGTGTTTGTTTGTTTGTTGTTCGGAGGAATATCTTTGAATTAATTGAAACTTTCATTAAGTCTGCATAGAAGTAATGGAAATAGAAAAAGGAATATGTTTTGATGAAATTGTTGGATTTTTAATTTATTTTAAAATTTGTGTTTGACTTTATATTTTGTGTTTATGAAATCCTGTGGTGTCATCGCTGAGTTTCGGCGATCCATTCATAGAATTTTCATTGGTTGGTTTGCTTTTATACCCATTTCTGGGGATGAAGACTACTTATTCTGTGGTGGTGGTGGTTTTATATTTCAGCTAACAATTGATCAGCACATTGCATACACATATTGAAACAGCAAACCGTATTGAGGGTTTATCATTTGAATTGGCCTTTCTGTTGAAAGAATAATTGTCATCCTTTCACTCTTAAAAGGTGTCCTAGAAGTTTTGAAACAGAATTTGATGAAATAATCATTTTTACACATTGAAATGCTAGTAGAAGTTTGAATATGCTTACTTACTTGGTGCAAGTATTTCCTTTCCTGTTCAGGTTGTGTTGTTTCTGGTATTAATATTATGTGAAGTGGCTCAGAGGTTAAATGATTCACTCACCAGGTGGATCCAGGTTCGATTCCAAAAATTGTTTGGAAGATCAGTTCTGTTGTCTTCTGCCTTGATATTGCTGGAATGTTGTTAAATGTTTAATAAAACCATACTCACTCACTCACTCACTCACTCACTCACTCACTCACTCACTCACTCACTCACTCACTCACTCACTCACTCACTCACTCACTCACTCACTCACTCACTCACTCACTCACTCACCACACCACCCACTCACACCACTCACTCACTCACTCACTCACCCACTCCAATGTTAATTTCATCAAGAAAAGACTAATTCTGTAATACAGATAGAGACATTATCACGTTTGTATCTCACGGATCTGTAATCATATCTAAATGGAAGACAATTTTTTAGAATTACAAAACCATGAGTATCTTCATGTAAGGTGCTGTTTTTGACCGAGAAAAGGACACTGGAATTAATGACAATTTATCCATTGATCACCTGCATGAAGGATGTACAGACATTAATATACCACACATTGAGATGTATGTACCAGTACTCTGATAAATAAATGAGATAATCCCTGCACAATGCAATAAGCAACCTCTATATTTTATATATGTATGAAATAATCCCTGCACAATGCAATAACCCACCTCCCAACTAGGTAAATGCATGCAGTTTTATTGGGTATTATGTTGATATATGATTATCCAATGATTATGATTTATGGTGTGTTTTTGTGGTTACTAATTTAGATCTAATTATAGCTTGTTACTTTGCGGGAATATTAAACCAATACACTGTCACTTCTATCAACTCATGTAGTACTGCTTGATGATGTTCTGACCACATATCCATCAACACATTCATCATCTTGGTCCTAAATCGGTTGTCAATGCTTCTCCAAGGAATAAATGTCAATGCAAGCCATGTTGTCAGTACGATATGCAGAGGTAGTGAAAATAGAACCTTGGCCCTTTGTAGGCGGTGACATTTGGACCACAAAGCCTTGGAACAGAGCCTGAGGCCAGGTCTGGTGAGATTGTGGTACTATTGTCCACACAACTAGCTTTTACACCGTCCTGGACTGATGTCGATGATGGAATAAAGGAGGGTTTCAAGGAATAATATTTTGAAATATGATAAAAAAATTAAAATCAGGATCATGTTAGATTCTATAATTTTGTCCTTAAAATGGTGGAGTGAGATGCTAGTTCATTTCTTGGTTTGTCTCTTGTACAGATTATAAAACATTTATTTCTATGAGTCCCACTTTTTCCCCATCCTGTCTGAATATATGAGACTCTTTTAATGTTTTACATAATAATATGCTTAAATTGTTTCAATTACTGTCTTAGTTTATAAATATGTCATTAATAATAGATTTTCCTTAATCTACAACATTATATTCAGAGCTGGTTGCCTGTTGTTTCTTTTAAATAAATTTCTCTTCTTTGTACCTGTGCTTGTTCTGTAATATTATGTCAAAGTTAGTAGAATATCCATATGACCATGATATTTCACAAACCGTTGTACACACCTAGTGTGAGTGGGGAACGCTACCTGTAGAGCAGGACATGCTAGCTGATCATCGCTGATCCACTCATATCATTTTCATTACTATTTTACTTTCTTTCAACCAGTTATGGCGTGTGGTCCTGTGTATAGAACTCAGGTCACAAATCAGTTGAAGTTAAGCAATGTTGAGCTTGGAGAATCCTTGGATGAGTGACCATGTTTGGCAGCTCGACTCCTGAGAGATTTTAGGACTTCAGTCCTGCCCCACAACGAAACGTGATACATGTGGTCTCACCTTAGACAAGTTAATTTGTTCAAAATTGCCTCTGTTCACCCAGCAGAAAAATGGGTACCCGATGGGATAAGTCATGTGACTTAAGATAAGTCATGTGCTAAAAGACTATACTCACTCACTCGGTCACTAAACTCACCTACTCACTCACTCTCACCCACTCACTCACTTCCACCTGCCCACTCACTCACTCACTCAAAACCCACTCACTTACTCACTCATTCACTCAAAACCCAGCCACCCAGCCACCCATTAACTCACTCATTGTAGTTGAGGGTGTTCTTTACTATGTTTTGGGCAACATGTTATCTTAACCTTTGAACAAGCCACATTGACACACCATGCAGGACAATTGATTCAGATGTTGAACGAGGAGATTTGTCATGAGATATCATGTGTTGTCACGAACTACTATCTAGATATAGAATCTGCTTTGTCATCTCAAGTTTCTTCCTTGTATTGATACTCTGATAGAGAGGCACTGTGATAACTTTTGATACATTTCAAGACACACCTTTGCATAATCCACATATAAAATGTGGTTACATATTTTAAATAATATAGCTTAAGCATAATGAAAGTGAAATCTTGTTTACTTCTCTGGACAATATTCCCTAAGGCCTGATTTGATTTTCTTGACAATCTCAGGGGCACACAGCTGACAGGGGACATTGTTTACAAATAACATGAATCTTTTAACCATAAACAACTTGTTTATGAAGTCAATTCAGGTGCAGGTGATGTCACCTGACGAGACGGTAGTAAGTAAACTGATATTTAGTCCCAGAATTTAAAAAATTATATATTTAAAGGTATACGTGTTCAAAAAATGAAGAAAATAATCCAAATAGTGTTTTGAACAATGGTAAATTTCAGACCAAGATCTGAGGCAATCTTGTCTTGCCAAGTGATGCTTGGCTTGAACTGGGTTCCTTACATTCTGTTGTATCAAATGTTGGACTGACTGACTGAGTTTGGTTTTACGCCACTTTTAGCAATATTCCAGCAACATCATGGCGGGGGACACCAGAAATTGGCTTCACACATTGTGCCCATGTGGAGATTCGAACCCGGGTCTTCGGCGTGACGAGCGAACGCTTTAACCACTAGACTACCCCAACGCCCCTATCAAATGTTGGAGTAGCAAGGGATAACTTCACCCTTACTTTGTGTTACACCAAGAGTATGATTTACTTGCTGATCAGACACTCCCTCACTTTTAGAGAGTGATTTATATGGCGAACACATATTTCCCCTTGACCCATTTACTGGGGACAGTATCAACCACAGACGAAACAGCTAGAAGATTATTTCAACATGACTATACTACTGTAGACTCTATCGTCCATACATGTTGAAGACGGCTTCAAAATAATTTCCACATGTGATCAATTTCTGAGAAGCTTGAAACTCTCTACAATGTGTTAACCCTTTTGTTTTCACCTGTGTTCGTTATCATCAGTGTACAGTACGCTGGTCTACTGATGAGAGGTGGAGAGTTAACGTCACACACCTAAGACCAAAGTATAAGACAGATTAGATTTCTGCCCATGTGATGTGCATGGTGTCTGTCCTGCACAGCCTGTGTACAGAACAGCGGATACCTGTTGTCTGGTCGGGAGATATAACTTTTTAACTTTAGAGATAGGTGTTTAACTGAGTTGTTACATTGTTATTATGTTTCAAAGGAATTATTGATGATGAATTGAAAGAAAGAAACAAGACAAGTGCATTTATCATATGACAACCGAGATCTGTTATATGATACTTGGGAAAGATCGTGAAATCATTGTGACATTTCAGTCTCGTGGTCTCATCTGTTCTTCATGTTTTCTGTTGCTGCAGCACCTTCTGTTGGAGCTTATAGAAGTGTGTGAATGGTTTGTGATTCCCAGCAGTGTGTTTGAAGTTGACCATCCTCCATCGGTGGTCGTGTTAGTGTCCACCATGTTGAAATGGATTGTGAACAAGAGGAATGGTAGACGTTTTAGTAGCTATGATGACATCGAGCAGGTGATGATACAAGGAGAGATGGGGACGTATCGGTCACTTTCATTCAGCGATGTTGGCGTCAATATGACACATAACACACAAAATGAGAAGTGAGTTATAAATATGTATGTCTTCATGTTGTTTAGTCATTTGTACATCAGTGCATCAAAGTGAGAGTATGTTTTCATGATGCTTTTGACAAAATTCTAGCAACAGTGGAGGGTTGAGGTGAAGGCACCAAAAATGTACCCATCAGGGCAGTAACCCGTGAAAATCTGGGTTAGAATTGTTCTTCAGCAACCCATGCTTGTCTCAAGAGGAAACTAAAGGGATCGGATGGACAGGCTCGCTGACTTGGTTATCACATGTCATCGTATCCCAATGGCGTAGATTGATGCTCATGCTGTTGATCACTGGATTGTGTGGTCCAGACTATTATTTACAGGTGCCAAATAGCTGGAATATTGCTGAGTCCAGCATTAAACAAACATAATATCAGAGTAATGGATCTAGGTCTTCTGTGTGATGAATAAATGCTTTAATCACTAGACTACTCTACTGCCCCATAGTACCTCAAAAATAGAAAATCACAATGGTGTCCTGACATCTTATAGTGTTTGGCCAGGTGAGCTTCAGTGCTATGGCAGGTTATTTTGGGTTGATGATGCATTTGAAATTAAGAAATATGTAGTAATTATCATCAGTTCTTATTAACTAGCAATGTTTACAACACATGAGATAGTATAACAGTATTTTCTCTCAAAGGAAAACATATATGGAGTTATTATGCTAATATTTGTATAGTGCCAACATCCAGCTCATCTGCTCAGAGGCGCTTCGTTTTCCCCCATGATCACTGGATGTCAATGTCAAATGGCACATTGTATTGTTAATCTCAACTCCTTGGGAAATATACAACTCTTGCAGCCACAAAGCACACTTAGTTAATGTGGCGGCAAGATTACAGAATACCGGATACCTATCCGCCATTTTTATTTTGATTGCGCATTTATTTTTGCGCACTTCCATTTTGTTTCCTTAGCAATGGCACACGATGAATGAAGGCTGTGTTGAAGCAGCGTTTAATATTAAATATTAAATATTAAACAATATTAAAGCTAAAAAAAGGTAAGATAATGGGGGTAAAGGGGGTACCCCCCTTTATTTAAAAGCCTTACCTACCTTACCTTACCAATCAAAAATCACTTACCATCAGAGTGTTCCCACACTGTAGAGTTCCTTTTCCCAGCATGCATTTGAATAAAATTTCAACACACGATTACTTTTTACTCTGTTTACGTCAGTGAACACTGTTAAAATCCCCAGTTTAGGTTTCCTAAACCGGAAGTAAGGTGAGGAATTCGATTTTAACCTTATTTTTTACCTTAAATTCGTATTTTTATTGGATCGCTCGCAGGCTCACGCTCTCTGTTTCTTCTATATATAGGAGCCTCACGCGCACAATAGAATATATATAATTAGGTATCCGGTATTCTGTAAGTACCAATGTGGCTTTCCCATCCTTACGAGGTACCCATTCACAGCTGGGTGGACTGTGACATAGTCACAGTACTTTGTCCAAGTTTACTGCACATTGATGTACCCGCAACTAGGTGTTTGCACGTATTCATGTGTCCACAATCTGGTCATTTACCAACAGATTCTTGGGCTCTTTAAAGTGCACAGGGCTGTGTACTGTACACTAGGGGTTGACATTAGTTTAAGAAAAGCTGAGTATTGAAATTTATATCATTGATGAGAATTCTCTTGGCCATAAGGGTAAATGGTCTGAGAAGGCAAGTTAACAGAGTTTACGGTTATACTTCGTTGTGACAAAATACCTGGCGAAACATGGAATTCCTTTGGAAAACTAACCTTCAGTTACAGAAAAGTTCCTAGCAACAGTATGAGCACTGGTTGTACTTGTTGTGTGGCAAGCACCTCGTTATCAAGTTTTACCCACAGATTTAGCCTGGGATTATGAAACATGTTTGTTTTGGGTCAATAGCTGCCTCGTAAATTTCACGTTGGTAATCTAGAGGTCGGAATGAAATGTAGTCTTGATATAAAAATACTTAATTTGATATGTGTTGGTGCAGAAACCGAACTGGTTGCTGGTCTTCAAGAACATTTCAACATTGATGCTGGTTAGTACAGCTACTTGTTGATACTGGCCAGATGTTGATACTGGTTAGTAGAGCTACTTGTTGATACTGGCCAGATGTTGATACTGGTTAGTACAGCTACTTGTTGATACTGGCCAGATGTTGATACTGGCCAGATGTTGATACTGGCCAGATGTTGATACTGGTTAGTACAGCTACTTGTTGATACTGGCCAGATGATGACTGGCCAGATGTTGATACTGGTTAGTACAGCTACTTGTTGATACTGGCCAGATGTTGATACTGGTTAGTACAGCTACTTGTTGATACTGGTTAGTACAGCTACTTGTTGATACTGGCCAGATGTTGATACTGGTTAGTACAGCTACTTGTTGATACTGGACAGATGTTGATACTGGTTAGTACAGCTACTTGTTGATACTGGCCAGATGTTGATACTGGTTAGTACAGCTACTTGTTGATACTGGCCAGATGTTGATACTGGTTAGTACAGCTACTTGTTGATACTGGCCAGATGTTGATACTGGTTAGTTGTTCATAACAGCTGAAGTGACCAAACATTGATACATTGATATAGATCAGTCAGAAAACCCAAATAGTGATTTAGTTACTGAAGTCAGATATTGATTCTGGCTGAATGATTTAAACATTGATACTGACTCTAGCAATCAAATGTTCATGAGTAACTTTGATACTAAGCGTAATATTTGAACTTGCTGAAATACTTGAGCATTGATGCTGGCTAGAAACTGCAACAAACATTTATACCTTCGCGTCATGGGTTTCCGTGGTATTAAGAAATTTACGACTATGAATATGATCGCTCATATTGCCAAGTCATATAAACATAATATAGTGTTAGACGACATACCTTTGTATCATTTAATGTCAATAAAACACTTTTGTCATTCTGAAGTTCATTGTTGTCCGTATCGGACCACAGGCGGCCATTGTGCACAAACTCTGGTGACGTCATATGTTTCCGTGGTATTTCCTTCAGATCAAATTACGGGGTGAAAGCACATGTCACAATCTCACACCTTGTCAACAGCCAATCCGGGAGTGTCAATGTAGGTTTACAGAAATATCGAAGTTGATAAATTGTAATACAGAAAACGATTTTGTAGAATTTAACACAATAGTCACATTTCTTCAGCATGAATTTCCAGTTCATAAAATATGTAGAGTTGATACGGGATACGTGAAATGAAAAGTGATAAAAACACTTAAGAGATGACCCTATCGGGCTTCTATAGTTTAAAAATAGAGCTGGGATTCCCCACTTAGGTCACTTGATTGTTTTATTGATGACATCAGCTAGTAGACGAGCGATGTTTGGAAAACTTTGAAGCTGAGTAAGTTTATAGAAAATGTTTGCTAAGATCGCGCAAAAAATGCATTACGTGCTAGACATAAAGTTGCATTAGTTTTTAAATACTAGTAGTAGATGACTGTACGTACGCAAATTGATGAAAGTCTGAACATTTTTTGTTCAGACCCGTGCCGATCAACTGATGAACGTAAACAATCGATAGGTGGCGCAATTTGGCGAGTGGCTCGTGAGAAATTATGTCATTAGAAAATACCACGGAAACATAAGTACCACGGAATCATATGACGGCATGGTATATTAAATGATATTAAAAGAATTCAGATGGATGTATTTAATAGTTAAAGATTCTGTTCCAGAAATCTTTGTTTCTATTGCTTTTTTTAGTGAGAGCACTGCCTTTTTTTCACATCAGTATCTTGATCTGGACAAATTGGTTTAGTATTGAAAGCTGACAGATATCCTATATTAGGAGTTTCAAATGAGTTTTATCTTGATGTGTTAACATGCATGTATTGTGTCTGATGTCTTATTCCCAGGTCCACATGTTGAAGACGATAGTTCCAAGTGAAAAAAATGTCAACAGATACCTGACGTTTTCAAACACCATTTTCAACATCATGAAAGTGCTGCTCTATAAATATGCGCTTTGCAACAAAAATGAGACCAACTTTCATCCCTAGATTCACAAAAGAATCTTGGCATGAAGCAGCGATGTGTGAAGTGTATAACTACAACCATTGTGAGTCCACACATGCAACTAGGGTGCAGGAGGTAATGTTTGCCAGACACAAGCCAGACTGCCGTGGTTGCGTTAGATTAAACAGCTTGTTAGTTTACACCTCCCTTAACCTGCCACTCTAACAGCTCCCAACCCAGCTGTTGTCGTCCCCATCAGTTGTGGTGGAGGAGTTGAGGTTACTGTTGGTTGTGGTTGAGGAGTCGAGGTTATTGTTGGTTGTGGTTGAGGAGTTGAGGTTATTGATGGTTGTATTTGAGGAGTTGAGTTTATTGATGGTTGTATTTGAGGAGTTCAGTTTATTTGTGGTTGTCATTGAGGTTTTTGATGGTTGTGGTCAAGGAACTGAGGTTATTGGCGGATGTGTTCAAGGAACTGAGGTTATTAGTGGTTGTGGTCAAGGAGAGGAGGTTATTGGTGGTTGTGGTCAAGGAGCTGAGGTTATTGATGGTTGTGGTCAAGGAACTGAGGTTATTAGTGGTTGTGTTGAAATGAGGTTTCAGTAATTTCATGGCAAACTTAATTATGTATACTACTAAAAAGAAAATAGAGAACACCAACTCCTTTCAAATTACTTAAGATATTCTCTCATGGCATGACTTAATATTTATAACATTAAAGGTTCCGGTTTTCTTTTGAGTGGTATATCTTTATTTTTAATTGTATTTTTGGTAGCAAAAGAATCAAGATGAACTTTGACAATGCATGTTTTCAAAATGTGAATTTTGTTTCATTTGGCATGTTCAGTGTACTACTTACTTATGAAAATATTATTATTGTTGTTTTATTATACACCAAGGTGATTATTCATACTATGTGTATATAATGGCATCCTATCAGTACTATCACAAGACTGGTTCCAGTCAGCACTTGCAATGCATCACCTTTGTCAGAATGCAATCCACTCGTCTTGGA